GCCCGGCTGCTGCGGTGACCGCCGGCTCCGCGCGCCGGCGCGTTTCGTCCGCCACGCGGGAGCGTCAGTGGGAGATTTCAGCGCGCGTGTGAAAGTCCGTGATTTGAAAACCCGTTGTAATTATTTGTTGCAGGCCGATCTTTTCTCTTTGTTTCCCCCTTCCCATTTTTACTCCTTAATGAGGAGTTGCATCTTCAGGGCATTTTAAGCTGTAATGTCCAAGTCCTAAGTCTGCTTAATTATTTTTGTAAATAATCTTCTTATTCACACACGTTCTCATATTGCTGATGCTCAGATAATGTCCGTACTGGGCATGAAAACTTGTGACTTCATAGTGTTTATATCTATGACATGTCAGTTATTTTCATTTAATAAGGTAATGAATCATGATGTCAAAGACTGACAATATGAGGTTGGTGTTAGGAACTAGAAGCACGGCGTATAGTTTAATGAATAGTAAATATACCCTAAATGAAGAGGACATTTATTTTTCTCCCTTTAAAATATGTTTACACTTCATTTCATTCGAAAATGGAAAGATAAGACTGCCCTCCAAACACGGTGACGCGGCAGTGCGAAAATCAACGCACACTTAGAATATATTATTCTGCCTTTTAACTAATATGTGGATATTATTAATGACTAACAGTAGCAACAGAGTAGTACATCAATAAATATTTTAGATAGTATGCTCAGTGAGTATTAGTGCAGAGAATTCTTTGTATCTTAATTGTAATAGGCACTCTGATGATTTAACTTTAGAAATGCTGTGCCTTCTTTTATTATCTCTAGGTAGCCAGCTCTGTTAGTGTTTTGTGTTGTACCTATCGCCTTACTGTGTAAGCGATTCTCACTCCTAAACCCTACAGTGAAAAACAAATACAAGCATTCTGCAACGTGAAGTGTTTTGGAGATGCTGCTGTTAGAGCTGGTGTGTATCCTTTACATTTCACTGTTCAAAACTGTTGACTCTCAGAATGCAAAATCCACCAGCTCTGCCTTAGTCAAGAGTCTGCACACAGCACCTGGGGCGTGCTGGGGCTCGTGTCCTGGTGGATTGCCGAGATACCGGCCGGCGTGGTTCAGTGGCGATACCTTCCAGCTTCACTGGTCCATGTCATTTGAAGGATATGTAGTGGTGTTCTGACCACTGAACGCTTACAAGTGTCATGGATGCTGCGAGAATCTGATACTCTGGCTGCTGGAAGCTGTCTTTTACTTTAAGCAGCAGAGTACACAAAAGGATTGGGCTTTAAGTACACCTACATGAGATTCGAAGTTGTACCCATGCAGTTGCTTATGGGAGACTCCAAGTACTACATTTATTCTTTGTAATAGGTCTGCATGTAAGTGCAGATAATAATATTTCAGAGACCCTTGACTTAACTGTTACAGGTGAAAACACACCGTCACCTCCTCAACTTTAGCATATGTTTAGTGAGGATATTCTAACTAGCTTCTATTGATTGAGTTCTTTGGTATCGCTGAAGTTAGAGCTAAAACCTTCCAACTAAGTTCTGATGTATGTTTCTAAAGTAGTGAGATTTAAATGTTAAAACGTTGGAGATGTTGAAATACGCTGTGATACAGAATACAATTGGTTTTAGTTCATTTTGAGTCTTGGACGATATTCCTGGGAATTTTTAACAGGCAGTAAGGTCCGCCTTTGAGTCTTCCATCATTTTAAGATTTCATCAGCCTGTCTAAGCATACAAATGTCTTCTTAAACATGAAAGAAGAAATGAAAGAAACATACTCCAAACAACAGACATTTCCAGACTTACGTGGCCTGTTCTCCTTAGTTTTTCTAAAACTGCGATTCTGACAGGTGAACATTCAGTAGAATTTTATTTTTAGAAAAAATACTAGCAAACGTTTTATCAAGTTACTAGTTTGGAAAAGGAAATCTTTGAAGTAACTGGACAATTGTGGAAGTGAGCAAGTAGATAAAAACTGTTACACAGAGAAGGACTCTAAAACTTCATTGCTTGTTTTGTGAGCAGTTGTGACCTTGATAATTCAGAACTTCAAGAAAGGTTTATGAAATATTATTCACAGAAGATTCCCACCACCTTTAGAAAGAGATTAATTGTTCCACTTAAGCAGTATAATAAGTATTAGTGACAGATAGAAGCAGCACAGTGGCATAGTCATCTGCTTACTGCATATTGAAGAAAATAGGAGAATCACACTCAGTATTAGAACTTGCTCATAACCTTTTTGCCTTTTAATAACAATTTTTTTTGTAGCATGCTACTTCAAAAAAAAAA